TGGGACCGGTGGATGCGGGATGGGTGTAAAGGGAGGGGCGGGTGAGGGATGGCTGTAATGGGAGGGGCGGGTGAGGGATGGCTGTAATGGGAGGGTCCGGGGCAGGATGGCTGTTATGGGAGGGGCAGGTGCTGGATGGCCAGATTGCTGAAGGAACGAGTGGCAGTTTATTGAGTGTCTGCCCTATGCCGAGTGCTGGGTAGATGTGGGTAAAAGCGGTGGACAAGGCCCCTGAAGTTATCTCTGGTCAGGCCACTGCAGGCTGCGTCGATCACAGTGAAGGACACGAGTGAGTGGTGGGACCCAGAGGAACTCAAGACCGTGGCTCAGAGGGCTGGGAGGCGGCAGAGCCCGAGTCAATGCCGGGGACACCTGGGGAGGGAGCCTCGTGGGATGCATGTGAGAGCTGGCGACATGCTCCAGGGGCCCAGAGAGGAAGGGGCCGTGCGAGGATGTCCTGGGCAGTAGGTGGCACCAAGGAACTCTGTGGGGCCGTGGGGCTGGCTGGAGGCCCCATGTCCTCCCCCTCTTCTGTCCCAGGAGGTGAGGGACATTGGAGAGAGAAGGGAGCCGGGCTGTGCCCCGAAGCAGCCGCGGGAGCCCACAGCGACCACGGGAGCCCAGAGCCTCGGGAGCACCGGGCAGGGCTTCATGAAGTGCCTGCTGGAGGTGGAGGAGGAGGAGGCCATGCATCGGAGGGCCGCCAAGGCCCGGGCCCTGCCAAACCGGAAGGCCCCCAAGACCCTGACCCCCGTGCCCACCTCAGCCCCGGTTGGCAACTCAGCCTCAAACCTGCCCCTGACACTGCCTCAGACCCCTGCCTCCGCCCCTGCCATGGCCCCATCCTGGGTCCGGCCACCAGCCCCTGGGCCCATCCCTGCCGCTGTGGGAGCCCCTGTCCCGGCCTCTGTACCTGTCACCGTCCTGCCAGCGCCCACCCTGGACCTGGGCTGGAGAAAGACAGTATTCTTGCACCACAGCAACGAGAGAAGCCTGGCCCAAGTCAAGGCACGGTAGGAGCCCCCCGAAAAGAGGCTCAGAGCTTCTGTCCCCTTGTCCCTGGCATCTGTCTCCCAGACCCTTATCCCTGTCAGTAGCCCTGTCTGTTTCCTCCTGTGTGTCCTCTCCACTTCCCCTCATTTCTGTCCTCCCTCCCAGCTCTATGCCCCCATATCTAGGTCTCCGTTCCCATGTCTGACCCCTTTCCCTCCCTCGTGTCCTTCACCTCCGCCCCGCCCTTCCTCTGGGTCACTCAGCCTCTCTGACCCCTCAAAGCCTCGCCCAGGGCCCTGCCCATGCGCTCCGCTGCCCCGGCTTCCCCCTAGCCCTGCCCTGGCTCTGGGTGCAGCCGTGGGCAGGACAGGCGGCTGGATATGGACCCGGCCGGTCTGTCCTCTGCAGGCAGGACCTGGAAGAACACTGCCTCCTAAACTTGTATCAGAACTGGGAGGCGCGGGCCGAGGAGCACCTCACCTTGAAGCAAGAGGAAGGTGAGGCCGGCCAGGGGAGCCCTTGCAGGGGCCTCAGAACGCTCTGTCCTTTGGGGTTCACAGACCTGGGGTGGGGGTGGTTTACAGACCAGACCGCCGCCCTGTGCCCACCCCGCCCTGTGCAGTGGACCCAGTGGAGTGCCTGGCTGGGGGGCCGTGCAGGGCAGGAGCTTGGCCCAAGCGCGTACACTGCTGGGTGGGGGGCCAGAACTCACGCTGGGTCCTCTCGCTTGGGGTCCAGTATGCTTCCCAGTTCCACAGTCACCCCCTGAGTGATGGCAGCAAGCCTGCCAAGCGCTTCAGGTTTTGGAGGCGTTTCTGCCTCCTCCTGAACCCACTCCATTGGTCCTCTTTAGAAGCAGCCTCCAGGGTGCTTGGCTGTCCTAGACTGGTCTCCATTTCCCACTCCCACCCCAAAATGTACAAGTTCTGAACACACACGCTGGGCGACGCGCTGTGCTCTTGGGCTGGGTCCTGTGACCCCACCTACTGAGCTGCAGGGGGAGGGAGCACTGCTTTCTGTGGGCTCCAGAGGTGGCCTCATCAGCCTGGCCCTAAAAGAGTGGGTGTGCGTCCTCCCCCACCCTTCACTCCTCCCAAAGCCCGGACCCTCTAGCCAGAGTGGCCTGTTCCTCTGCCTTTCTTGAATGCGCTTGCTGGCTCCCATGACCCCCTCCTTGAAGTTCACACCTTCCTGCATTAAGACCCTCTAAGCCAGCGGTTCTCAACCTGTGGGTTGCGACCCCTTTGGGGGTCGAACGACCCTTTCACAGGGGTCGCCTAAGACCATCGGAAAACACATATATAATTACATATTGTTTTTGTGATTAATCACTATGCTTTAATTGTGTTCAATTTGTAACAATGAAAATACATCCTGCATGTCAGATATTTACATGACAATTCATAACAGTAGCAACATGACAGTTATGAAGTAGCAACGAAAATAATTTTATGGTTGGGGGTCACCACAACATGAGGAACTGTATTAAAGGGTCGCGGCATTAGGAAGGTTGAGAACCACTGCTCTAAGCCATTGTTGGCTGGGCTTTCCTAAGTACAGGACCCGCTGCCCCTCCTCCTCCAGTAGAGTTCATGGGCAGCATGCCTTTTTGGCTTAGAGACCCAGGGTTCCCAGCACCACCCTCGACCTGACCTGGGGAGGAAAGAGCTGGCTACGCTGCTCTGATGCTCCAAACTGCCCTGCATTTTGGACGATGAGATTTGCTTTTGAGAGTTGTGTTTTTTTTTCCCATGTGGCTGCTCACAGCACGTCACCATCGCCCAAACCCTAGCCCCATCTCCTCCCGCCGTGTCACTTCTGTGTCAGAGGCTTACAGACTTACAGAGTCCATTATGTGCCAGGCACGACATTAATACAGCCGCTCCAGCGTCTCTTGGAGGGTGCGCTGTTATGTCCATCTTACAGAGAAGAAAAGCGAGGCTCAGAGAAGGGCAGGCCAGGAGTCGGAGATCATGATGTTGATGTTTGGTGTGTCCCGAGGCCTCTTTGCTCGGCTTGCCTTCTCCCTGTGTCCTCACATGGTCTCCCGTATGTGTGAGCACATGCCTGGTGTCTCTTTGTGTCCAAATTTCCTCCTCTTATAAGGACACCAGTTAGATTGGATTCTAAGGTACTGGGCGTTAAGGCTTCAGCATGGGAATTTGAGGTTAGGGGACACAATTCGGCCCACGACAGTAATTCAGAGCCAGTCTTCATACTAGGTCTGTTGATTCTAACCCGCATTTTGCTGTGAGCTAAGAAACCAGACACCACACATGCTCTGACCAGGAAGGACACGGCTTTTGTACCAGTTGGCACTGCTCTAGGGCTTTCTCGGCATCCGTCCTGGTCCTGTGCTCGGGTCCAGATAACTGAAGCCTAGAAGCCATGTCCATGCAGATCAAGGCCCACAGAGCACCCAAGTCAGAAAGACCTGTCGGGTCACCTCAGTTTCCCCAACCTCACAAAAGGTTAAAGGCATTGGTTAAAGGTTAAAGGTTAAAGGACTGGTTAAAGGCATTCTACTCTCACAAGGCTGTCGTGAGAATTAAATGAGAACCTGGCTATAGAGAGCATAGCACGGTGCCTGGCACACAGAGGGGTGCTCTTGGTGCAAAGCGAAGGTTGCTAATTAGCTTAGCTTTTGCCACACCAGCTGAGCCCTTGGCCTGACCTTGCATAGAGTGGAGTAAGTCGATGGGACCACACCCCTCCACTTTCACTCTTTCAGTTCCTTGTCCCGCCACCGGGCCATGCTAGTAGAGGACACCGGGCAAGAGGGTGGCTGGAGGGGAGGGGAGGAATGGTGGAAACAGAACTGTCCCCCCTCACGTCACCCCACTCCGGCCCAGCCTTCCACAGTTACTTTGAGATCTTCAATGGCCCTGGCGTGGTGGACGCACACAGCCTGCAGAAGGTCCTGCTCCTTGTGGGCATCTCCCTGACGCCGGCTCAGGTGGAGGATGCCCTGATGAGTGCTGACATTGATGGTGAGTGAGGGGGGGCTTCCTTCCAAGTCCCAGGCAGGGCCAGCGCCACGGGCCCTGGGAGACCTGTACGGTCCAGTTAGTGGCACAGGACTCTGGTGTAAAAGGCCCTTCCCCTGGTTTAATGCACTGCTGTCACAGTCTAGAATTTTATTTAAATTTTTATTTATTGATTTGAAAGAGAGAGAAACATCAATTTGTTGTTCCACTTAAGTATGCATTCATTGGTGGATTGTTGTATGTGCCCTGAGCAGGGATCGACCCTACAGCATTGGCATATTGGGGACAATGCTCTAACCAACTGAGCTACCCAGCCTGGGCCAGTCTAGAAATTCTTAATAATGTTTTCTGCCTTTTCATTTTGCACTGGATCTGAAAGGTAATACTCCCTGAGCACCCACCTACTCAGTGCCAGGTTCTGGTGACTGAGATGACCAAGACCTACCTCCTCACCCCAAGATGTACAGTGACCTCTGAGATCCCTTCCTTTTGGGCCCTTGTATGTGCTTCATCGGACATTCCCCTGTGATTTGTTCACTCATTTTACCAACTGGATGATCTTGGATGAGTCAATGAAGTTCACCAAGCCTCAGTTTCCCCATCTGTACAATGGAGCTGATGGCGATACCCATCTGTGCTGAAAAGATTTAGAGATAATCCCAGCAAAGCATTGAGCAGACACCTGGTACAGAGAATGCGTCCAGAAGGCATTAGCTGCTAGTGTTACACATGGTTTGATTGGCTAGACGCAGGACGTGGGGAGCAGTGGGCTGTGGAGGGCCTGGGCTCCTGACCACAGCTTCCTCCATCACTGCACAAATGCAAATCTTCACGCTCAAGCCAGGAATTGACCCCAGCTCGGCCCCTATGTGACCCTTGGCAACAGGCTTCTTTTCTCTGTGCATCAGGCCTCATCTGTGACATGGGAATAGGTATTGAGCACCCCCAGAGGGGGCCTTTAAGGACTGGAGATTATTCATTCATTCGTCAGGTAGTTCAGAGAACAGCTGCTAAGACCTACCTGTCTTAAGCACAGAAGACACAGTGCCGAACACAACAGGCCCAGTTCCTGCCTCCCAGAAAGAACCTCCATTACATTCCAGATCTTCCGAGTGTGTGGTTGAAGTAGGGGGGTTTTTAGGAGAGTGTTTGAGGGGATCTGACCTGGGTAGACCTGACTTCTCTGAGGATAGGCTGGTCAAGGGAAAGTATTAAGTAAAGGAGCTGGAGGGGGTGGAGAAAATTCTAGGACGAGGAAGCAGCCTGGTGGGAGAGCAGGTTAGTGCTGGAGGGTCTGGGCACTAGGGGAGGTTGGAGACAGGTCTAGTGGGGTCCTGAAGGCCAAAGCGGGAATATGTGTGCATATGTATTCTCATGCAGTGACTATCAAATGGTAATAATAATAGTTGCTGATGCCCTAGCTGGTTTGGCTCAGTGGATAGAGCACTGGCCTACGGACTGAAGGGTCCAGGGTTCGCTTCCAGTCAAGGGCACATGCCTGGGTTGTGGGTTCGATCCCCAGTGGGGGGAGGGTGCAAGAGGCAGCCGATCAATGATTCTCTTTCATCATTGATGTTTCTCTTTCTCCCTTCCTCTCTGAAATCAATAAAAAATATATATTTTTAAAAATAACCAATGATTTAAAAAATAATAGTTGCTGACATTTAGTGAGCATGTATTATATGCATGGCCTGTTCTAAGCCCTTTGCCTCATTTTACCTCCCATGAGATAGGTATTATAGTTATCCTCACCTCTAGTTGGGAAAACTAAGGCTTAGTGATGCTAAGAAACTTTGCCAAGATCACATGAATAGTCAGTGGTGGACCTGGGATATAAACTCGGATTACTGCCTCTAGGATTCAAGTTCTGGGAGCTTGTAACTCAGGAGATTGTAATTTTTGCCTTCTACTCTCCTGGGTGCACCATGCTTTTTGCATTGACTATACATTACTTTAAAAAAATGTTTTTATTCATTTCAGAGAGAGGAAGGGAGAGGGAGAGAGATAGATACATCAATGATGAGAGAGAATTACATTGATTGGTTGGTTGCTTCCTGCACACCCCCTATTGGGAATCAAGCCTGCAACCCAGGCATGTGCCCTGACTGGGAATCAAACCGTGACCTCCTGGTTCATGGATTGACGCTCAACCACTGAGCCACACCAGCTGGTCACCTATACGTTACTTTTATAATCAGACTCAATGAGTAAATACTAATAATCATGCCCGGGTTGCCATGCCTGGGGCCGCTCGGAAGGCCCGTGCCCACCCTGTCTTCTTCCGGCCTCCACAGGAGATGGTCACGTGGGCTTCAAAGATTTCTTGGCCGTAATGACAGACACCAAGCGCTTCTTCTGCTCCGTGGGTGAGCAGGGATGAACCAGGGAACAGGTGGGTGGGGTGGGGTGCATCCAGGGCGAGCAAGTGGTAATGGCAGCCACCATCCCATGTCCCCAGAACAGAATGCCCTGACGGCTCCCCCGAACCCCCACACTCTGCTCTTTGAGATCCTGTCCCTGCTGGTGGAGATGCTGGCCTTACCTGAGGCAGCCTTAGAAGAGATCACCAAGTGAGTAGGGCTGGCTGTGGGGAGGGGGAGGGCTGGGGACACAGAAATAGCACCTAGTGTTTTGGCACCTGTTCATTTATTTTTTTTAATGAAAAATAACCGTTTTCCAAAACAACAAAACAGGTCCGTAAGAAGAATGACATTTTTTTTACAATATTGCAAATCTCTTAACATCGGGCATAAGAGAGCTAGATTCTCGTATCTACTTCTGCATTCAATCTGTTGCAATGTTGTTTTACTTGAAGTATATGAACAAATCTGGCCTCACATACATATGTAATTGGAGAGGAATATTTTAATAGCCTTTTCACTTAATAGCCACAAATGATGTGGATATTTTTCTTTGAGACTACACCAAATTTGACAAAAGGTAGTGTCTTAAAGGTTGCTTGCAATATGAAATCTGAAATCAGAGCAATGAAGTTTTCAGACTCTTGTAAATAAAATCTATTGGTCAGCCTTGTAGTTTGAATGGGTCTTTTCCCATGAATGCTTTTGTAATATGCACTAGTCATTTGGAAAATACTGTGTACCTTCCAAATGTTGACATATTTCATTCATTTTTGCTGTTACCTGGGTATGTGTCCTGACTGGGAATTGAACCAGTGACCTCTTGGTTCCTAGGTCAATGCTCAACTGCTGAGCCACACTGGCCGGGCCAAACCTCCAGTCATTAAAAAAAAAATCACAGGATGAAATGTACAGCATAGGGAAAATAGTTAATATTAGCATAATAGCTTTGTATGGTGACAGATGGTTACTTGACTGATTGTGGTGATCACATCGTAAGGAATATAAATACTGAACCACTATGTTGTACACCTGAAACTAATTATTATATGTCAACTACACTTTTGATGTTGTTGTTAATCCTCACCTGAGGATATTTTTTCTACTGATTTTTAGAGAGAGTAGAAGGGAGAAAGGGAGAGAGAAACATTGATGTGAAAAAGAGACGCATCCATTGGTTGCTTCTTCCCGCATGTGCCCTGACCGGGGCTGGGGATCAAATGTGCAACTCGGGTAACGTTCCCTTGACCAGGAATTGAACCCGAGACCCTTTGGTGAGCTGGCAATACTCTAACAGACATTGAGCTACACCAACCAGGGCGTACTATACTTTATTCTTTTTCTTCATCATCATCATCATCATCATCATCATCATCATCATCCTCCTCCATCATCATCATCATCATCATCATCATCTTGCTATCAGATGTAGCCTGCAGTACATATAGACTTGGGTGAATTCCACTTTTCTCAAGGTCCCCAAAAATGTCCTGAGATTTTTCATCATCATCATCATCATCATCATCATCATCATCATCTTGCTATCAGATGTAGCCTGCAGTACATATAGACTTGGGTGAATTCCACTTTTCTCAAGGTCCCCAAGATTTTTCAGCTTGCCAGGAAGTGACCTTTACTGACCTGTAAGACCAGGAACTCTGAAATTCAGGTACCAGGCAGTATTTTAAGCTGTACTTTCTAAGCAGTGCCTCCATAAAGTCAACTTTAGTTCTTTAAAACTGCCTGGTCATATCTGATCTATGTTTATCATTTTCAAATATGACATTACCACCTTAGCCAGTTTGGCTCAGTGGATAAAGTGTCGGCCTGTGGATTGAAGGATCCTGGGTTTGATTCCCGACAAGGGCACATACGTACCTCAGTTGCAGGCTCGATCCCATCCCTGGCCCTGGTTAGGGCGTGTGTGAGAGGCAACCAATCAATGTCTCTCTCTCACATCGATGTTTCTCTCTGTCTCTCTCCCTCCTTTCCACTCTCTTTAAAAAAGTCAATGGAAAAATATCCTTGGCTGAGGATTAACAACAAAAAACATGACATTAGTGTCAAAACCTTGATAACAATATTTTTCATATGTTCTATAACAAGAAGAATAGATTCTTATTAAATTTATGTAACTATATTAATATGAAAATAAAAATACTTAGGAAAATAAAAATATTCCAAAGAGTCTGGCTTCCCGGTGCCGGTGGGAATGGAAAATGAGGAAGTGGAACAGTGAGTTCTTCACACCAGCCCACAGCAGCCCAAGGCCCCGCCCTGGTTT